TATAGACATATATATATATATATATATGTATACATATATATATATATATATATATATAGACATATATATATATGTATATGTATATAGACATATATATATATGTATATATATATACATATATATATATACATATATGCATATATATATATATATATATACATATATGTATATACACACACATATATATATATGTATATATACATATATATATACACATATATATATATGTATACACATACACATATATGTATATACACGCATACACTTATATATGTATATGTATATATAAACACACACATATATATATATATATATATATACACACACACACACACATATATTGGGGAAAAAATGTATGACAAAATGGAAAAAATTTTTCTGTGACACTTTTCGTTCTTTACAACTTCATCGGACTAAATTTGTTTGCATAAGTATGACTATACATGCGGACAAACGACGGATGCTGGGAATTAAAATATATAATCTAGCCAATTTCATTTCGGTTCTTTTTCTTTCTTACAACATTTTACCATTCCTGACAGATCTTCTATTATCAGAGTGGTATATCTAATAAAAAAAAAGCGATGGAAACAAAAATAGTATATTGGAAATTGGCTCGACTGTATAACAAATAAGAAAAAAAAATTTTTTTTTTAATTTAACATTGCCAGCATCTTTTGTTCAGGCACATGTGTAGCCAGACCAATGTAAACAAATTTAGTCTGATGAAGCTCCAAAGGACAAAACGCATCACATGAATACCTTTACTCCACTTCATACATTTTTTCCCCAATATTGTTCTTAACAATATAAAAATCTATATATCGTTATCTCATATATGTGTGTGCGTGTAAGGTACGATGCATTAGTTCTGCTTACATAAGTGGAATTTAGGTTCAAACTTTGCCAAAGGACACACTTTCATTATAAAACACTCTCAAAATACCAAAGCCAGTAGATCAAAATATACTGTTTAAACACACATGTATCCATTAAATTTAACACTGTAATAATATAAATAATGTTGAATAATGGATTATCCCATTAATTCCCTAAAATTATATATATATATATATATATATATATATATATATATATATATATATTTTGATGTAACCATACATGCACACGGAGGAGAGGGGATCCTGAGAATTTTTTTTAAATAAATGTTGTGTACATAGTCTAGCTGATTTAATCTATATATATATAGTATGAGGCAAAAAAATGGATGCACCATAGAAAGTCAATTTTTGTATTTTTTACCAAGACAAGTGAGTAATAGCAGCAGGAGTTGGTAATTTGTACAAAATCAAGAGAATCATGAACCAGCATTTTTTTAAGTAAATGTTTTGTGTACATAGCCTAACTGATTTAATTGAGTTTCTTTTTACTTTTTGTTCATGTTGAAATCATCTAGACTATATACCCAAAACATATGTTTAAAAACAAATTTTAAATTTAAGATTCTGATCATCCCCTCTCCTTCATGCTCATATGTAGTTGTATCAATGTTAGCATCACTTAAGTCCAATGAAGTTCTCAAGGACAAAACATGTCAAATGAAAACATTTTCTTATTTGTCATAGTTTTCTCTAAAATTGTTCTTGATATCTAAAAATGTATGTATGTATGTATGTATGTATGTATGTATATGTATCACCCCAGTTGATTTGTCAGGAAGGAAACTTCCTGATGTTATCATTTTGGAGGAGGACAATCCCAACATGTGACACCTTTGGAAAGTGCCTGAAGAAAACCATACCACGGGTTGGCCCAAACCTTGTGAAATTGGGTAGACGGAAAACTTGCTAGCATTGTCACAAGTCATCGTGACTGAGGGTTTGAGTGTGCTGGCCTTGTTCAGATTGTTGATTATGCTAGATAACACACTCTCTCTCAGAAACTGTAACTAAAGTCTGCTCAACATAGTTGCAGTATAAACCACAGGCAGGCTCTGTGGATGTTGAAAAAATCACAGATGTGCCTGAGCAGGTGTCTGAATTAAGGATTGGCTAACTGCCCTTGTAGATGGGTATTCTCGAATACAAGTGGCTAGCTATTATATGTATGTGTAGATGCTATATTGTATCAACTCTATAAATTCTCCTGTTGATGTTTTAAATGGTAGCCTTTACTATCAATGTATCAAATTCTTTCAATTGTAAACTATTTGTGAATATAAATTATATGCCAAGAGTTTCACTATTGAAGTTATATATATTTTGTCTATGTCCTACACCAATCACTAACAGGTTGTTCTTGTTTAAACCGTTCAGAATATTTTTGTTAAGTATTTGAGGCATTTACTGTCATTTTTCCTTAGTTTGAACCACTTAAGGAACAATTAGAAGCACACATTTTTTTTAAATATATTAAACAAAACAAAAAATTGTTAAAGCATATGGATAAATTTTAATGTCATTTATTCGGGGGATCATAGAGTACTTAATCTTTCTTTCTTTACAGTTCTATTCTTTACTCTTTCTTTCTTTACTGTTCTATGCTTTATTCTTTCTTTCTTTACAGTTCTATGCTTTACTCTTTCTTTCTTTACTGTTCTATTCTTTACTCTTTCTTTCTTTACTGTTCTATTCTTTACTCTTCTATGCTTTACGCTTTCTTTCTTTACTGTTCTATGCTTTACTCTTTCCTTCTTTACTCTTCTATGCTTTACTCTTTCTTTCTTTCTTTACTGTTCTATGCTTTACTCTTTCCTTCTTTACTCTTCTATGCTTTACTCTTTCTTTCTTTCTTTACTGTTCTATGCTTTACTCTTTCTTTCTTTACTGTTCTATGCTTTACTCTTTCCTTCTTTACTCTTCTATGCTTTACTCTTTCTTTCTTTCTTTACTGTTCTATGCTTTACTCTTTCTTTCTTTACTGTTCTATGCTTTACTCTTTTTTCTTTCTTTTACTGTTCTATTCTTTACTCTTTCTTTCTTTCTTTACTGTTCTATGCTTTACTCTTTCTTTCTTTCTTTACTGTTCTATGCTTTACTCTTTCTTTCTTTACTGTTCTATGCTTTACTCTTTCTTTCTTTACTGTTCTATTCTTTACTCTTTCTTTCTTTACTGTTCTATTCTTTACTCTTTCCTTCTTTACTCTTCTATGCTTTACTCTTTCTTTCTTTACTGTTCTATTCTTTACTCTTTCTTTCTTTACTGTTATATTCTTTGCTCTTTCTTTCTTTACTCTTCTATTCTTTACTCTTTCCTTCTTTACTCTTCTATTCTTTACTCTTTCCTTCTTTACTCTTCTATTCTTTACTCTTTTTTTCTTTACTGTTCTATTCTTTACTCTTTCTTTCTTTACTCTTCTATGCTTTACTCTTTCCTTCTTTACTCTTCTATTCTTTACTCTTTCCTTCTTTACTGTTCTCTGCTTTATTCTTTCTTTCTTTACAGTTCTATGCTTTACTCTTTCTTTTTTACCACTACTTTTTCTTCTCTAATCATATGAAAAAAAATAAAAGAAATCAAAAAATTCCATGAAAGCAATCAATGAAATAAATTGTCCAGATTTCTTCAATGAAGCATCGTAATTATGATTAATTACTATTAATTTTCGAGTCATATTTCTTTCTCCTTAATTTTGTTGATTTGATCAAAAAATGCTCTGGACATTTTTACGCTATTGAAAGTATGACGGGTAGGGTAGAGAAAAACAGCAAGTAACATTCCTAATGAGCAGAACAGATTGTGGTAGCGACAATAAGGAGACAAAACCTTACTTACAACTATAAAGTATGGGAAGTTGCACAGAGCCATGATTGCTTACATCTTGCAGGTACACAATGCATGAAATCTTTGAGCGAGCAGCAAGGATTTTTTTATGTAGATTTATATTTTATTTTTAAGTTTTTGTGCTTTTTATTTTCTGTGTGGTTTTATTCATACATATATATATATATATATATATATATATATATATATATATATATATATACACACACACACACACACAGTATGAGGTAAAAAATGGTCGCACCTATAGAAAGTCAATTTTTGTATTTTTACCAAGACAAGTGTGTAATAGCAACAGGAGTTGGTAATTTGTACAAAACCCAGGGAATTATGGACCAGCATCAATACCACAACATTCTTGTTAATCAAATGTGGGTTTCTGCTAAAAAACTTTTTGACGAATGTCAATGTTTCACGTTCCAATGTGATAATGATCCTAAGCATACTGCCTTAAAGAATAAATGTTATCTAGAGAGGAAGCTCGACTTGGGTAGATTACAACTCTGCCAGTGACCTGGTCAGTCTTGAACTTAACCTAATTAAAAACCTTTGAGCAATAATGGACAAACATGCCCATAATAGGTAAGTTAACACAAAAGATGAGCTTTTTCACGAATTAAAGAAATGCTGGTAAAACCTTGCAAAGGACTTTGACTTATTAAGGAATTTAGTCTGTAGCATGCCACAAAGAATTAAGGCGGTTATTAAAGTAAAGGCTTACCCAACAAAATACTAAATCATTTTTTGACTTGTATAATGTACATATGTGCACCTCTATTAATACCCTGTATTAATAAACAAATTCTATTACTCACTTGTCTTGGTAAAAATACAAAAATCGACTTTCTAAAGGTGTGTCATTTTTTCTACCTTGTACTGTATATATATTATTATTATTATTTTATTATAAGATATTATAACAAAAACATTTTGAAATCGCTGTTGTGTTGCAATTTAAACATTTTTTTGTTATATCTTACAATAAAATAATAATATATTGCTCTACTTTTTAAAAGTAAATGCTACAAACAGCAGAATTTTACTTCATCTCTTCTTTCTCTAATATATATATATATATATATATATATATATATATATATATGTGTGTGAATAAATATAGTCTTAAGATGTGCTATATTTATGGGATAAAGTGCTCAGTATCAAAGATAGAACATGTGTAAATATAAAAGTGAACATAGAAGTCAACACTTAAAGGCGACAGTCTGTTTCATGCTAGACACATGATGTTGCATCCAGCATGAAACAGACTGTCACCTCTAAGTGTTCACTTTTATTTTTTTTATATATATATATATATATATATATATATATATATATATATATATATATATATGTGTGTGTGTATGTATTTATATACTTTTTTGTCTTGTTAAATATTTTATTTTTATACTTTTAGAATTTATTTTTCTTATCATTTAAACTTACTTTTTTTATATAGTTCCATATAATATTTTTTGTATAGTTTTACATTATATTTTTCTACTTTTGTATTTTATTTTGATATAGTCTTGTTTTTTTTTATCATTTTTATATTTTACTTTTTATAACATGTAAATTTAATTTTTTAATTTTATACTTTCTGTATTGTTTTATATTTTTATACCATTTAAACCTGATTTTTTATCATTTTACATTTTTCATATAGTTTCATATTTTATATCATTTAAGCTTAATTTTTTATAGTTTTATACTTTTCATATTGTTTTATATTTATTTTATACGATTTATTTAAACTTAATTTATATAGTTTGATATTTTTTATATAGTTTGATATTTTGTATCATTTAAACTTAATTTTTTACAGTTCTTTATTTTTATATTGTTTTAGATTTTATTTTTTGTGGTTTTATACATTATTTTTGTACTAATTTATACTTTATTATTATATAATTCTGTATGTTATAGTTATAAATGTTATTGTTTAGATAGCTTTACTTGTTTTTATTTAATTAAAACTTAAAATAACCACATTTTAAGTCATATAAATTGTACATTTAAAAAGAAATTTACTTGGAAAATAAACATCAAAGGAAATCTGTTTACTTTATTTGCAGATGATGTCCAGTAATTTTATTTACCCAATATTTCCAATGTTTCCAATATATAAAAAATCCGACATTCCCAAGTGATGTCCAGTAATTTTATTTACCCAATATTTCTGATTTTTCCAATATATAAAATATCCGACATTCCCAAGTGATGTCCAGTAATTTCATTTACCCAATATTTCTGATTTTTCCAATATATAAAAAATCCGACATTCCCAATTGATGCCAGTAATTTTATTTACCCAATATTTCTGATTTTTCCAATATATAAAAAATCCGACATTCCCAATTGATGCCAGTAATTTTATTTACCCAATATTTCTGATTTTTCCAATATATAAAATATCCGACATTCCCAAGTGATGTCCAGTAATTTTATTTACCCAATATTTCTGATTTTTCCAATATATAAAAAATCCGATATTCCCAAGTGATGTCCAGTAATTTTATTTACCCAATATTTCCAATGTTTCCAATATATAAAAAATCCGACATTCCCAAGTGATGTCCAGTAATTTTATTTACCCAATATTTCTGATTTTTCCAATATATAAAAAATCTGACATTCCCAAATAATGTCCAGTTACTGTATTTACAAACATAACTGAATCACTTGTATACAAAAGGACTCAGATTTATTTTAAGTCACTGTGAAAATACCCATAATAATTTCACAGTTTTCCTTTTGAATTTTCTGATGAATCATAACTTTTAATTTATCGGTTAAATGAGTTCCTTGTGTGTTTTCACAACAATAAAATACCTGTGGAAATTCCCTTATGGCATCATTAAATATTTGAGCTTACCCTTAACAAAATATTACAATAACCATCATAAATATGAATGCAGGTCATTATTTAAAGAAGTAAGGGGGTACAAATAGAAAGATTAAAAATTGATGATGATTTCCATTTCATAAAGAAAGAAAGAAAAATGACTTCAATTCTTCAATAACAATTTGAATTTTTGGATTGAATGTAAATTTAATTTTTTAATTTTATACTTTCTGTATTGTTTTATATTTTTATACCATTTAAACCTGATTTTTTATCATTTTACATTTTTCATATAGTTTCATATTTTATATCATTTAAGCTTAATTTTTTCCTTGCCACTTCTACAACAACAAAATACTCTTGGAGATTCCCTTGTGGCATCATTAAATATTTGAGCTTAATAACTTTAACAAAACATTACAAAAACAATCATAAGTATGAATGCAGGTCATTATTTAAAGAAGTAAGAGGGTACAAATAAAAAGATTAAAAACTGAAAAGGTTTTCCATTTCACTAAAACAGATGTTAAACTCTATCTTCTTTATTTTCACATAATATACACGCTAACTAAGGAATTAAGAAACAAGTAGAATTATGACATAATTATTGAAAAAAAATAACAAAATGAATCTTTCTTCCTTAATTATTGATTACTTACAATTACCATATTTTGATGGCAGATAAAACTCTACCTTTCCATTTAACAACATTAGTAAAAATGAAAAGGGAAGACATGTTGCATTGCCTCCGATCTCTCATAGAACCTTTCCCAGGCCTGTGCCCTGGAGAGGACAATCTAACGTCGCCTCACCATGATGGAAAGCAACAGTCTATTGAGGTGAAGATTCCAAAAGCTCTTCTATACAGAGAAACAGGCCATAGGCAAGAGGGCGCCCTCATCTTCACTTCAAGGATACCTTCAAAAGAGACATGAGGACGATAGACATCAAAAGGTGAAAAGACGTCGGCAGTAATCGCTCATGTTGGAGACATGATTTACATCAAGGGCTGGAGTGAGGAAAGAAGAAATAGGCTTGCCACCAGGGAAAAGCATGCTTGAAGGAAAGAAAACAACATGGCAACATTGGGGAAGAGTGTCTTCGCATACATTCATTGCAATTGAGATGGTCACTCCAATGTGCACCTGTACAGCCATAAGAGATACTGTGTTGCCATCAGCAGCTGAGACATAACTCTTTGGATACAAATCCATGGTCTCTCAAGACTAACAAATGCCACATACATAAAACTACCATTTTACGTTTAATAGTACAGTATTATGGATTAAACTATGAACGAGTGTTGAGCGTCTATGACAATGCAGTAAACATTAGGTTACCAGATAACATTAGAAATAAAATGCAGAAGATAATTTTGGGAGAAATAAACTTTAAAGTATAAGCCTCCATTAAAAAGCTAGAAAATTTACGGTAAATTGTGGTGTCCGTCGTATTTTCAAGCCTAAAAATATCTTTTTGGGTCGAGTTTTCAAGCTTAAAAAAATATTTTTGTATCACAGTTTTCAGTCACTGGTAACCTACCATATTTTTTGGGGGGTGACCTATACAGTAAGTATAGGCCGAACTCAGAATTTTGAGCTAAAACTTTTGAGATTGGCTTTTACATTGCAATTTATAGTAGATGAAAGAAATATTAATAATAACTGACAATAGTTTTCCAGTCAAATTTGATCTTCAAAAATTTAAATGCAATGTCAATCATTATCTTCTGTCTTCTTAATTCCAATTCTTTTATTGTTCTCTCTTCTTAATAATGTTTTTCTTTTTCTCGTATTCTTTTACATTCAGTAAGCCCTTGCATTTTAGTGGCTTTATTGCCTTGCTCGGGATGAAATGATAAAAAAAATCAA